TCCTGGATTTTGGCGTTCCTGGATTTTGGCGTTCCTTAATTTTGAGGTCCTGGATTTTGGGATTCCTGGATTTTGGGATTCCGCGATTTTGGAATTCCTGGATTTCAAGATCCCTGGATTTCGAAATTCTCCGACTTGGGATTCCCGGATCTTGGGACTCGGCCGGTCTGGGGTGGGGGATCCAGGCGTCCAGCTTGTGCTGGCCTGTCTCGGTGTTCCGCCACCATGGTCCGGGCCGGGCCATCTTTCAGGGCCAGAGTGCGCGAGTTCCTGGGGCCAGGGCCAGGGCCAGTGCGCGCCACTCCAGGGCCCGCGGGCAGTTCCATGCCTGAGCCGGGGGCCGCTGGGTTCGGGTCGATTCAACCTGAAGGCATGGAAATAGTGCGTACTTGGTTTTAGTATGGAACCATAATTCTTTTTCACCATGTAGAACCTCAAGAAGCCATTATAGCGTACCGGATTATAAACCTGAAGACATGCTGACGAAATAGTACGTACTTGGTTTTAGTTTGTTTTTATGATCTCCATCAGGTAAGGCTATTGTAGAGCACGGGTGTAAAGCCTGAAGGTATACCAAGACATCATTGGTTTGATAATATGATAATTTAAAGACATCCACTAATTAGGGATACAACGCCATTATCGGGTACGAGTCTATGCTTAAGAGACAGTACATAATTGTTTTTTAGTATTGCACTATAATTATCGTCCATCACATTCTAGGGTACGGGTCTATTAAACTGAAGGTTTGCTTGTGAGATAGTACATCATTGGTTCTTTAGTAGGGTTTATTATGATCGCGCATCGAGTAGGGCTAATGAACTCATATAGGGTCCGGGCATGATGCGCTTGGAGGTATGTTAATGAAAAGGCACATATGGTTTTGTAGTATGGGGTGTTTTAATCTCCATCAAGTGGGACTACAGAGAGCCATTAGGAGGTGCGGGCTGCATTATGTATGTTATAAGACAGTACGTGATTGGTTTTTTAGTATATTTTTATGACCTCCATCATTTAGGACTTCAGGGTGCTCCTGTAGGGACGGGCTTAACAAAACTGAGTGTATGCTAATGCAATAGTACGTAGCTGGATTTTTTATATGGGTGTTTATGATTGTGCTTCATGTGGCTACATGGAGTTAATATAGGACTTGGGTATAATACACGTGACGGTACACTGATGAGGTCATTAGAAATTGGGCTCTTAGTATGTGTTTTAATAATCTTCATTAGTAGCTATGCAACGAGCTAAGGTGCGGTTATACTAAACATGCTCAAAAGGTAGTTAATTGGTTGTTCTAGTATGGTATATTTATTGTTTATCAGGAAGGACTTCAAGGAGCTATTACAATACCGAAAAGGAGACAGCCCAGACTATAAAGTGAAAGACCCAAAAAATAATCAAGTGAACATGATCTATAAAAATTGAGAATAAAGACAATTAGTATGTGGGTTTGACAATAACCATCATTTAATGAACATGTAACAATGCACTAATTTGATATATGTATATAAGATATTTACATATTACCCCCCAAGGCGAGGTGTAGATATTTAGATATCCACACCCCCCGACGGGGCGGTGGTGCGTGGAATCGGGCGGGCGTTCGGGGCAGCGTGTCGGGGCTGGTCGACTCGGCGCGCCTCAATGGTGCGAGGATTGGGTCCGGTGGCACGTGGCGGTAGAACATGGGGAGGGAGAGGGGAAGGGTGAGATGGGATGAGATTTATAAGAGATAATGGGTGAGATAATGGGTGAGATAATGGGTGAGATTATGGGTGAGATAATGGGTGAGATTATGGGTGAGATTATGGGTGAGATTATGGGTGAGATTATGGGTGAGAGTTTGGGTGAGATTATGGGGGAGATTTATGAGGTGAGAGTTGGGTGGGACTATGGGGTAGATTATGAGCGAGACTATGGGTGAGAATTGAGGTGAAATTATGGGTGAGAGTCTGGGTGAGAGTCTGGGTGAGAGTCTGGGTGAGAGTCTGGGTGAGATTATGATCGAGAGTTAGCTGAAACTATAATATAGCTGATATTTTGAGAGATAGCTGAAACTATAATATAGCTGATATTATGAGATTTGGCTGAGATTATGAGATTTAGCCGGGATGTTGTGTGGGATTTACCTGAGATTAAAGCTGAACTGAGATTTAGTTGAGAATACCGGCGAGAGTTAGCTCAGAATATGGGTGGGAGTTGGCTGAAACTGGAATTGAACTTATACTACAACTGAGATTATGACTGAGATTATATCTGAGATTATAGCTGGAATTATGACTGAGATTATATCTGAGATTATAG